CAATTTTTGAAATAAATTTCAAGAGAAACTTTTTCCCAATTTTCAAAATAAATTTCAAAGAAAATTTCCAGCAAAATTCTGAAACTATTCCGAGAAGAATCGTCGACGAAAATTGTGAAATAATTTACCGGAGATAATTTCGGTTGGTCTTTCTCTACGTGCAACCCTCCAACATCAACGACCGTATTTACAAGAGGTCTGATCCCATAAAAATTGTGATGAGAGTTTACTAAAGCCAGCGACACGTTTTTCTCCAGTTCTCGGACATTTGGTATATGGGGTAAACCCAGGTACTTCTTCATCATGTCGGTTTGGTCGGACGTGTAGTAGTGGAACTTCAGTATCTCCGGATAATTCAGTAAGAAGTTCTGTAAACGATCGTAGAACGTGTCTACGACAGGTTTCTCGTTGAAGAAACCGGGAAAAAAGGAGTAGCTGAGGGGATTTCCCATAAAGTCGTCTACGTATGGTATTGACAGAAATGAAACGGCGATGGCCACAGGTGTCTTCAGAAGATGACCAAATCCTAAGTAACACGGCGAGCCAAAATACTGGAACAAATGCATTCTTTAATATTAACAATAGAAATACCGTTTCGTTATAAAAATCGATTTCGTTCCTTTAATTTACAGGGTGTTCGATAAATCGTAATACAAAGTACAAGAAGATGATTTCTTATGAAAGAAACTAAAAGTAAACAATGTAGAATAAGTTGTTTCATTGGTGGGTAGTCTAGTCCCAGAGAAAAATGATTTTGAATATGACACTTGCTTTTAGTTGAAATTATTGTACACTTTTTTATCGGACACCGTATATAGGAAGAAAACAGAATTGTATGTTTGCTTGTGTATTACTGTAAAATGTATATATGTATCTATTGTGTATGTAAATTAGAGGTTATCGTGGACAGTGTGTTGAAGAATAGAATTGGTTATAATTCACCATTGCGTAATATCTAATTATCACTTTTTTTTTTTTACGCGATATGTTTTTACGATCGACTCACAGCTTTACTTATCCAGAATTGCGTAATGTGAAATGTTCCGCATAATACGAGCCGTTGTTTTTGAAAGTGGTACAAGTCCATTTTTTTTTTTTTTTTATCTGACTAAAACTACCATTAACTCATTTTTTCCAAAAATGGACTTATACCATTTTCAAAAAGAACGGCTCATGTGTTGTGATCGTAAACAGCTAAATTCGACTTTAGATTGAATTTTTCAAGAATCTCGCGAGTAGGAAGAATTTCTTTTGCTATAACAGCTGTAACTATATTTACCTCTGTAATGACGAGATCGTATGGCGGATCGTTGGGTGGATTTTTAATGAATTTTTGCATCTTTTCGATGCCCATTGCATGACAGAGAGCACCACCAAAACCCGTGGCCATGTGATAAGTGAGCGATTGTTGTATACTTCTTCCATACTCAACGGTGAAACTGTTTACTACCTGCTCCCCGACTCCGGTTAAATCAATGATGTCCGTGTAATTGGCGATCGATTTCTTCGATGGAAAATGGCTGATCATATCGATCTGGTGTCCCCTTTTCGCCAGTCCCTTGCAAAGGGCTTCAAACATTTGGAAGTGGCTCTTTCCATTGAACGGGAATACGCACAAGATTCTGTATGCGTCATTTACGTGTATGAAAAGGACGAATGCTAGATAAAATAGTACTTTCAAATGTCTCATGGCAATTGTTTTTTTTTTTTTTTTTTTGTTAATACCTATAAAAGAATATTTGCCGTGAATGGTTTTGCAAGTTAAATTGGATTTCAGTGTGACATGAAAATTAAATATTTTGAAATTTGAGGTTCTGAGAATTTAACTGCTTCAGGATTTGAGAATTTGAGATTTTAGGAATTTGGGAATTCAGGAGCGTGGGAATTGAAGAATTCGAGAATTTAAGACTTTGGGGATTTGAAAAATCGAGAATTTGAGACTTTGGGAATTTGAGTATTTGCGAATTTGAGGATTTAAGAACTTGAGAATATGCAAATTTAAAACTTTGAGAGTTTAGGAATGAGAATTTAAGTTTTTGACAATTGGAGAAATTTGGGAATCTGAGAATTTGAGATTTTAGAAATTTGAGAATTTGAAAATTTGGGAATTTAAGGATTTGAGAATTTTAAACTTTGGAAATTTTAATATGAATATTTCAAAAATTGAGAATTTCAGACTGCAAATTTAAGAATTTAAATACTTGAGAATTTGAGAACTTGAGAATATGAAAATTTACAAATTCGAGAGTTTGGGAATATGAGAATTTAAGGCGAAATTTGGAAATCTGAGATTTTAGAAGTTTCAGAATTTGAAAATTTGGGAATTCAGGAGCTTGAGAATTTAAAACTATGGAAATTTAAATATGAATAGTTGAAAAATGGAGAATTTGACTATTTAAAGACTTAAAGCTTTAATAACTTGAGATCTCGAAAGTATGAGAATTTAAGCCTTCAGCAGTTCGAGCCATTAAAACCCAACTAAAACCACATAATTACACGCAAAGAAATCCATTGAAAGGAGAAACAAAACTCACCAAAATTCTCAAAAAAAGGTAAACAATTTCTTCTTCTCAAAAATTCTTCACTACGGTATTCAAAAAAGCATCGAATAATTCTCCTTTAAAAATATCTACATATATATATAGGTACTTGTGTAAATATCATGGTTTTATCCAGTTATAGTCGAGTAAATATATTCAGTCAGCTACCATAACACTCAGTTCTTGTCACTCGTGTATACTTGACGTTGCCGATTGTATCAGTTGAAACTTACTGACTTCTTGTCGGTTGGACTATATAGATAAATACTATATATATTAGAGATCAAAAACTGCCTAACGTGATAGCGTATGAGTAAGAGGGGTGCTTATTTCACTCGCACTTCTTCACTCTCTCTCGATTATATGTATAATTCGAAGATTAAATTACAAAGCTTATCTTAAACGATATGTGGCGAGGATAATTAGCGTATCGCGTCTTTTAACGTGTACTTTGTTAAACGAACGATAATTGTTTAACGCGAAAGTAAAAACCTTGTGAATATTTTATTTGTAATTTCTACGCTTCTGGTTTCTCCACTTCGTTGAGCTTGAAGTACGATTGCACGATTCTCACGTTTCGGTCTTTTTCGATTTTTCGTGAATTTCTTCGTCTTCGATGGGATTCTGTTTCCCTTGGGAAATTTGGAAATGTTTGAATTCTCTATCAATTGGAGGATTTACATCTACATCTTGATTTTTTTTAATAGGAAACAGGATCTGTTATTGTAGAAATTTGGAAGTTCTCTTGGTCTCTTTTTGATTTTCGACAATAGACGAATTTTTTCAAATTGACTTTCTTGATCTTCGATAGGACTTTATTTCCCTTTTGAAATTTTAAAATATTGCGATTTTTTGGTAAATTTTCTGTTCGTAGAAAAATTCCAGGCTCGTTTCGTTCCTTTTGTACGAACTTTGCGTTCATTTGGAGTGCATTATGTGGTTTTCTTGAAGAATAGTAATTCAATTTTTCTTATAGAAAGAAGGATCTGTTTTTGTAGAAATTTGGAAGTTTTCCTGGTCTCTTCTTGATTTTCGATAATAAACGAAATTTTTCTTCGAAGTAAAACAGAAGTACTATTGTTTCCCGAGTATGAAACGAAACATCTTCCAGTCGGTATTAATAATTCAAACTTTTTCTCGAGAGTATCTCTCACTCGAGGAAGGGAGAAAATTCCGAAGAATATCCGCTAGCCAGTCGAATACTATCTCCAACAATTTTCTTCTTTATTGCAAGGAGTAACAAACGAGCCACTCAAAAATCAAACTAATTCACTCCGTCAAATAAAATCGATGAAATTTCTTCTATTTGCGAAAAATGAAACACCAAAAACACGTGGTTTGGTACTAAAAGTGGAAATCATTTTGGCTTAAATAATAATCTGCTTCTATGCTTGCAGCATTTTCTTTCTAAAAATGTGCCACGTACAATGTTCGTCATTTTTGTAACGAGATGAGATCGTTGCGAAACGATCGTAACGAGATAAAGATCGTCGGAAGTTTCTTCCGGTTTCAAATGAAATGATCGACATTCCTTAAAACTGTACGATTCGAAGGTTCTTTTGTTTAAGAAAACTGACGAGTACCTGTTTCGTCGAATTTTTTACACATTTTATGGTTCTCATTGGTCTCACTTTCTTATTGATAATATTCTTTCTATCTTAATTTCTTACTGGTCTTATTTTTTTTTTTTGCCTTCATTTTATCAATATTAATATTAGTTTTTCATTGGTCTTATTTCTTATCTTTTTTATAATTCATATTGATCATGGTTGGCAGACGAAAAATGAGGGTGAACGATAAATTAGTCGGTATCAGTCAGCGCTCGAAGGAAAAATATGTCTAACAAGTAAATGAAGATGTAAGTAAAAATTTTCAATTGAAAATTCGTCGATGGTCATAATTAAAGACAATTAAAAAGCAATTTCATCGGAACAATTTTCTGTTACTTCAAGTAAAGAAATACTAGACTCTTAAAATGACAACTTAGCCTTCTATTACTTAATGTTTATGTATCTAGTTTTGCATACTTATGCAATCTACGTGAATTTATCTAATGTAAGCAAAAAGCTTTCGAAGGCTCGTTCCTAATTAACGTTTCTTTATCTGGCAATGGCAATGAAAGGCTAGCACAGCTGTTCAATATTTACGATAAAATTTTCGAATATGAAAATTAATTTTTCGGAAAATTTCGATTATATAAAATTCCCAAAATTGAAAATCAAGAAACCTTAAAGAACAGGCGTATTTCCGTATCGGTGGAACTTTGTGATTCACATTTTACACGTTCCAATATCATTGCATAATTTTACTGTTATAATGTCTTAATTACCAATTAACCCTTTAAGACAAATTAACTTTTTGGTTAAACTGCTCAATTATTTACCGACATACTTCTCCGTTTCTAATTTTATCGTTGCAATTTGTAACTGCACCGTAAAAGAAGATTCGTGCAAGAATTCCTTCTGATTGCTATGTTCCAATATCGACGATATTTTGTCATCCCAGAAAATTGGAAAATTTGAGGATGTAAAATAGAAAGGTGTATCGAGAAAAAATCCAAATTGTAATACCCATGTCTGCGAAAGTAGAAAAGAAAGAAAAGGATATAAAGCAACATGAAGATGAATGCCAATTGGAACATTGCTCGCCAATTGAGATCAATTCAGTACGTTACAGTTGGTTTCGTTCCAATGATCGTCGTTTCTGAAATTTCATTGTCGGCAGTTTGTCGTTTCGAAATAGTGATGTGGAGAATACAACGACCAGGCAAGGACCAACTTGCAGAGGTGATGGACGCTGGCCAGAAATATGAATTCACGGATTGCGAATTTTGCGGATAAATTGGTGGATTATTGCTTTCTCGCTGAGTTTAAGTCATATTTGAGGAGAAATGGACAATGGAATATGAGCAAAAAGGGAGAAGGATTCAATTCCATTGTTGCATAATCTCGATGATTTGTGTACGTTAACGGAGAGACTTTTGTGTAGGTTAAATTTTCTTTAGATATTTTTCTGGAATTTTTAATTAAAATTTTTGAATGGGGAAAATACGACGATTCGAAAGTTCGTAGGCTTGAATAAGCGAGGGTTTGGACACTTTTGAATTTGAATATTTTTAAAGCTGAGAATCTGGAAATTAAGAAATTTTCAAAGTTTGGAGACATTTCGAGACATCGAAACTTTGGAATTTTGAAAATTTGAAAAATCGGGAACTGAAGGACTGGAAAATTTCGGGATGTCGAAACTTTGGAATTTTGAAAATTTAAAAGTAGAAGAACTGAAAGATTGAAAAATTGGAGAACTTGAGAATCTTAAATTTCTGAAAACTTAAAAATTCCGAAAGATGTAAATTTAAGAATTCCGTAATTCGTGAATTTAAAAATTCCGAAATTCTTAATTTTCAAAGTCCGCAATTCCTAAATTTAAAAATTCCGCAATTCCCAAGTTCAGAAACTCCGCGATTCCTAAATTTAAAAATTCCGAAATTCTTAATTTTCAAATTCCGCAATTCCTAAATTTAAAAATTCCGCAATTCCCAAGTTCAGAAACTCCGCAATTCCTAAATTTAATAATTCCGAAACGAGTAAATTTTCAAATTCCCAAATTTCTATATCAAAAGATTCGAGAATTGAAAATCTCCACAATCTCGAAATATGTAGCAAACTCTACCATTTCTACTTATTCCACAAGAACCTCTCGAACGAATAGAAAAGTTTCTCTAATTACTATTTACTTTACCATTCCGCGACAGTGTTCAGCCATTTAATTAGCAGCATCCTCAAAGGTCCGTTCGAAAACGAAACTCGCAAGGGGGAAGTACCTACTGTTTCAAGAATCGATCGTGGCTGATGCGCGTACCCGCGGCGAGTGCACGCGTTGTAAAGTGCATCGAATACGTCACAGAGAACAATCGTGCTGTTGTGTTCCCAAGAGATTAGGAATCGATCTTTCCTCGTTTCTCTTGCTTTTTCAAACGAACGATTAAATGCGATGCTTTCAGGTCGATTCCAATTTATTTCTGAGGTTACATTGCATTCCCTACAATGAACAATACATACCGTGACATCGTTTTTAGGAAGAGAAAGGGGGAGAGGAACAAACATTGTCGTTTGGATATTATTGACGTTTGTGTACTCGTATGGTCGGTCAGGTGATATGCTCATAGTGATGAGAATACA